AGAAATTATGAGTGAATTAGAATATAGTAGTAGATTATCCTAAGAAATTTGTCTAATAAATGATTAGATAGAATTTGATTATTTAAAGATGGCTGAATTTAATCAAAGTTGTTAGAAATTATAGAAAGGAGAAGTGTGGTTAATAAATTAGAATAAAGCATCATTAAGATGGAGACTTCACTTATATAAACTGAGGTAAATGAGGATAGAATAAGGATGTTTAGATATAATGGGCTCATTATTTGAATATTATCTGAATGTATGAGAAGTACTGTAGAAGTAAAGGAAATATTAGTTAGAAGATTGGGGAGCTGTGGGGAGCTGCTGGCTATGACAGTGGGTGGTACCTCCCCAATCTTATGGGTTTGGGAACAAACTGTGGTTGGGATACTAGAACCCTGGTGGATCAAGGGTAAAGATAAAGTTATGTAATGGGCTGGAGGTCTAGGGAAAAGCTGGTTTAATTTGTGTGGGATGGGTTGTTTGGGATTTTGTATATATCTAGTGGCAATCTGTGTATATTTGGGGGGGAGGCTTTACACTTTATGAGACCAGAATGGAGATACGATGTTGGATAAATATGGTTAAGATGTTAAGAATTTCAACTTTAAATGTAAAAGATCTGGGTAGTGTTAGAAAAAGATTAGCAGTGATGTATAATAAAGATATAGCGGATATAGTGTTTTTATAAAAAAACTCATCAAGCAGACGAAAGTGTAGACGAATTTAAATTGACTTGGTCAGTTATTTATGAGATGGCTCATGGAAACTCAAGGTCAAGAGGGACTGTAACAATCATTTCTAAGAAATGTAAATTTAAATTGAACGTTAAGAAGAAAGATGACAGAGACAGATACTTAACGCAACAAGCTGAAATGAGAAGAGAAGAATATACTTAAATTAATGTTTATTCTCTGATTTTTAAAAAGAAGAATTTAATGAATTAGAAAAAATATGGAAGGAGTTTGTAAAGATGGCGAGAGACTATAATATAGTAATGAATAAAGAAAAAAACTAAATTCAATCCCACCAAAAAGGAGAACAATAATAATATCTTGCACCTAGAGAATACACCTCTTCTATTATTGGTTGTATCTTGTTCTATTTGAGTCAATGAGTAGATTTTAATTTTTACCCTAGATATTTTATTACTGTGCTGGAAACCACCCAGAATAGTACTATGCATTAATGGGGCCATAAGTAAGTAAGTAAGTAAGTAAGTAAGTAAGTAAGTAAGTAAGTAAGTAAGTAAGTAAGTAAGTAAATAAATAAATAAATAAATAAATAAATAAATAAAT